TGAACTTCACCATGCAGTTGTTCAATCCCTTTTTCACCGATGCGGGACACCACTCATAGACTTCTTCACCGCCCACAGCAACAGCAAGAACCGCTATTACTGCTCCAGAGCAGGACTAGGTCAATGCTCCCTGGGAGAAGCATTTTTCTGCAGCTGGAAGGTCCCCTTCTATCTGCTTTCCCATCCACACCCTCTTCCCCAGGGTTCTCCAGAAAATCAAGGCAGACAGGGCCACAGTAATTCTGGTGGCACCGGTGTGGGCATGTCAACACTAGTTTTCCCTGCTTCCCCACCTGTTGCCTTACCAACCATATCTACTTCTATTACTTCCCGACCTACTCGTACAGAACCGGGACTGCCTCCTTCACCCACAAATCCACACTTCGCAGCTGACCTCATAGTACCTAGTTGGCTCGATGCATCTGAAAACCTCTGCTCTGCATATCAGGGATGTATTGATTCACAGCAGAAAACATACTACACGTAGTACCTACCTGGCAAAATGGTGTAGATTCATCTTATGGTGTTTGGATCGTCATATGGACCCACATACGATTCTTTACAGCATTCTGGATTATGCGATGCACCTGAAACAAGCAATACTGGCATTAGCATCCATCAAAGTACACCTCGCGGCCGCCTTCCAAAAATCTGTTGATGGTGCCTCAGTGTTTGCTTACCCTCTCACCAAAGAGATTTTTGAGGGGCCTCATGAACTTCAGTCCCCCCACCCGACCCCCTCCACCACCATGGAGTTTGGACCTAGTACTCAAGACTTTGACTGCGCCTCCTTTCGAACCGTTAGCATCTTTACAGGGATTGTAGCTAACTATGAAATTGCTTTTTCTCATCGCTATCACATGAGCATGCGGAACTAGCGAGAAGTCGGCACTAATGGCCGTGCCTCCTTACACCATTTTCAACTAAGATAATGTCCTCAGACGCCACCCAGCCTTTATTCCAAAAAACTCAAGACTTTGACTGCGCCTCCTTTCGAACCGTTAGCATCTTTACAGGGATTGTAGCTAACTATGAAATTGCTTTTTCTCATCGCTATCACATGAGCATGCGGAACTAGCGAGAAGTCGGCACTAATGGCCGTGCCTCCTTACACCATTTTCAACTAAGATAATGTCCTCAGACGCCACCCAGCCTTTATTCCAAAAGTGTGCTCGGATTTCCATATTGAGTCAATAGTCTTACCATCCTTCTACCCTAAACCACACACCTCACCACGTGAAGCAGTCCTCTGTACCCTGGACATACGCAGAGCCCTCCCTCCATTGAGGAAGACTGACCTGCTTATAATTTCCCTTGCTGAGAGGTCTAAAGGTCATTCCATATCCTCTCAGAATAGCGAACACTGTCGTCACTTGCATAACCCAGTGTTACACCATACGCAACGTTCCACTTTTAGAATGACCTACAGCTCACTCTACCAGAGCCATGGCAGCCTCAACAGCGTCTCTGAGGCGTTCCTTTCAATGACATTTGTAGAGCGGCCACATGGGCCTCATATCACACATTTGTAAAGCACTATGCAATCCAGCGCAGATGGCTGCCTGACACTTTGGTGGCAACTACAGTACTTTCAACTGTAGACAAATAAGGACTCCGAGTCCCACCTTCCTTTGCACTTGAGGGTACTGCTACTCAGTCACCTACAGTGGAGCACCCACGGGGACCTCACTCAGAAAAAAGCGAAGTTACTCACCTTGGTGCAGTAACTGTTGTTCTTCGAGATGTGTGTCCCTGTGGGTGCTCCACTACCTGCCCTCCTCCCCGCTTCAGAGTTTCTGCTTATGATTTTCAGATTCTGAGGTAAATTCAAGGAACTAGCGGAAGCCAGATCGTGCATGTGTGCAGAAGAGTGCGAACGCTGTGAGACACCTCCGTGCATGCATGATCCGGCTGACTACTGCTGCAAAAATCTCCGATTTGTGGCTCCGGGGCAAGCCCAGCACCTACAGTGGAGCACCCACGGGGACACACATCTTGAATGACTGTTACTGCACCAAAGTGAGTAATCTTGCTGTGTGTTACATATAGGTATCAATGACATAGGCAAGGATAGGAGAAAGGTCCTGGAGGGCATATTTAGGCTTCTAGGAAAGAGATTGAAACCCAGGACCTCAGTGGTAGTGTTCTCTGAAATGCTTCCAGTTCTACATTCAGGACCAGGTAGTCAGGCAAAACTGCAGGGTCCAAAGCATGGATGAGACAATGGTGTAGGGAGAAGGGGTATAGATTTTTTATGAACTGGGGAAACTTTTAGGATAGGGGGAGCCCAAATTTGGGAGAGGCTTCACCCAAACCGAAATGGAACCAGATTGCTAGCACTTAACCTTAAAAAGTTTGTAGAGAAGTTTTTAAACTAAGGGCTGGGGGAAAGCCGATGGATGCAGAGGAGCACATAAAATCATAGAATACTAGGACTGGAAGGGACCTTGAGAGGTCATAGAGTCCAGTCCCCTGCCCTCATGGCAGGACCAAATACTGTCTAGACCATCCCTGATACATTTATCTAACCTACTCTTAAATATCTCCACAGATGGAGATTCCACAACCTCCCTGGGCAATTTATTCCAGTGTTTGACTACCCTGACAGTTAGGAACTTTTTCCTAATGTCCAACCTAAACCTCCCTTGCTGCAGTTTAAGCCCATTGCTTCTTGTTCTATCCCAGAGGCCAAAATTAACAAGTTTTCTTCCTCCTCCTTATGACACCCTTTTAGATATCTGAAAACTGCTATCATGTCCCCCCTCAATTTTCTCTTTTCTAAACTGAACAAACCTAATTCCTTCAGCCTTCCCTCATAGGTCATGTTCTCTAGACCTTTAATCATTCTCGTTGCTCTTCTCTGGACCCTCTCCAATTTCTCCACATCTTTCTTGAAATGCGGTGCCCAGAACTGGACACAATACTCAACTGAGGCCTAACCAGCGCAGAGTAGAGCGGAAGAATGACTTCTCGTGTCTTGCTCACAACCCACCTGTTAATGCATCCCAGAATCATGTTTGCTTTCTTTGCAACGGCATCACACTGCTGACTCGTATTCAGCTTGTGGTCCACTATAACCCCTAGGTCCCTTTCTGCTGTACTCCTTCTCAGACAGTCACTTCCCATTCTGTATGTATGAAACTGATTGTTCCTTCCTAAGTGGAGCATTTTGCATTTGTCTTTATTAAACTTCATCCTATTTACCACAGACCATTTCTCCAATTTGTCCAGGTCATTTTGAATTATGACTCTATCCTGCAGATTAGTCGCAACCCCTCCCAGCTTGGTATCATTTGCAAACTTAATAAGCATACTTTCTATACCAGTATCTAAATCGTTGATGAAGATATTGAATAGAGCCAGTCCCAAAACATGGATTGGACAAAGACATGTCTTAGGGTGGGGGTCTATTAATAGTGATTCTCTATGTTCTAGTAAGGAGGAGAGGATGGAAGATGATAAAATATGGGTAAGATCAGATTAGAAACGAGCAAATGAAAATATAGCAGGAGACAGACAGATAAATGGTGACAAGTTTTAAAGTGTTTATACATAAACACTAGAAGTCTAAAAAATAAGATGGGCGAACAAGAGTGGTCATATTTAAGGGTGATATTGATATAATAGGCATCAAGAAACCTGTTGACTGAGGACAATCAATGGGACAGTCATACTAGAGTACAAAATATATCGGAAGGACCGAACAGGCCATGCTGGTTGGCAGACAGGCACCACACATGAAAGAAAATGTAGAAATAAATGAAGTAAAAATCTTAAATTAACCAAAATGTTCCAAAGAATCTCTGTGGATAATGAAGCCATGCTCTGATAATAATAATATAGCAGTAGGGAAATATTACTAACCACCTGATCAGGATAGCGACTGTGAAATGCTATAGGAGATTAGAGAGACTATCAAAATAAAAAACTCAGTAATAGTGGGGGATTTCACCTACCCCACACTGACTGGGTACACGTCATCCCAGGACAAGATGCAGGGAGAGTTTCTTGACTCGTTAAATGGCTTGATTCTGGAACCTACAAGAGGAGAGGCAATTCTTGATTTAGTTGAAAGTGGAGTGCCAGATCTAGTCCAAGGGGAAAATATAACTGTATCACTTGGAAATAGTGACCATAATGTAATAAAATATAACATACCTGTGGTGGGACTGCAGCCCAACACTGTGGCATTTAATTTCAGAAAGGGGAACTACTCAAAAATGAGGAGGTTAAACAGAAATGAAAAGATATAATGCCAGAAGTAAAATGCCTGCAAGCTGCATGGAGACTTTTCAAAGACACCATAATAAAGGCCCACCTTAAATGTATTTCCCAAAGTAAAAAGCACAGTAAGGGAACCAAACAAGTGCCCCCATGACTTGACTTGGTCAAGTAAAACAAGCAGTGAGAGATTAAAAAAATGGAAGTTAAATCCCAGTGAAGAAAACAGAAAAGCGCATAAGCTCTGTCAAATTAAGTGTAAAAATAGAATAAGGAAAGCCAAAAGGAAGTTTAAAGAACAGCTAGCCAAAAAGTACTAGTAAAATGTTTAAGTACATCAGACGCGGGAAGCCTGATAAATAACCAATGGGGCCACAGGACAATTGAGATGCTAAAGGAGAAAAGACAATAAGGTCTTTAGTTTGCGGAGAAATTAAATGAATTATTTGTTTTGGTCTTTATGGCTGAGGATGTTAGGAAGGTTCCCAAATCTCAGTCATTCTTTTTAGGTGACACATCTGAGGAATTGTCCCAGATTGAGGTGTCATTAGAGGAGACTATAGAACAAAATGATAAACTTAACAGTAACAAGTCACTGGGACCAGATGGCATTCACCCAAGAGTTCTGAAAACTCAAATGTGAAACTGCAGAACTATTAACTGTGGTTTGTAACCTATCCTTTAATTAAGGTTCTGTACTTAATGAGTGGAAGATCACTAATATGATGCCTATATTATAAAAGGGGTCTAGTGGTGATCCTGATAAGACTATCAGCAGTACCTGTCAAATCAGCTGAAACTATAGTAAAGAATAAAATTGTCAGACACATAGATGAACATAATTTGTTGGGGAAAAGTCAACATGGTTTCTGTAAAGAGACATCATGCTTTACTAATCTACTAGAGTTCTTTGAGGGGGTCACAAACGTGGAGAAGGGAGATCCAGTGGATATAGTATATTCCAGAAAGTCTTTGACAAGGTCCCTCGCCAAAGGCTCTTAGTAAAGTAAATTCTGATGGGATAAGAGGAAAGGTCCTCTCATGGATTGAGAACTGGTTAAAAGGTAGGAAACAAAGGGTAGGGATAAATGGTAAGTTTTCAGAATGGAGAGAAGTAACTAGTGGTTTCCCCCAAGTGTCCGTCCTAGGACCATTCCTATTTAACCTATTTATAAATGATCTGGAGAAAGGGGTAAACAGTGAGCACAAAATTTTCAGATATTAAATTGCTCAAGATAGTTAAAACAAAGCAGACTGTGAAGAGCTTTAAAGGGCTCTTATAAAACTAAATGATTGGGTAACAAAATGGCAAATTAATTTTAATATTGATAAAATGCAAAGTGATGCACATTGGAAGACATAATCCCTACTACACATACAAAACAATGGGAGCTAGTTTAGGTGTAACCACTGAAGAGATCTTGGAGTAATTGTGGATAGTGTTCTGAAAACATGCATTCAATGTGCAGTGACAATCAAAAAAGCAAACAATGTTTGGAATCATTACAAGAGGGATAGAGAATAAAACAGAGAATATTTTATTGCCCCTATAGAAATACATGGTATTCCCACATCTTGAATACTACATGCAGACGAGGCCACCTCATCTGCAAAAAGATATATTGGCACTGGAAAAAGTTCAGAAAAGGGCATAAAAAATTATGAGAGGTTTGGAATGGGTGCCATATGAATAGAGATTTAAAAGATTGTGACTTTGCAGCTTAGAAAAGAGGCAACTAAGGGGGATCTGATAAAGGTCTAAAAAATCATGGGAGGTATGGGGAATGTGAATAAGGAAAAATTATTTGCTTGTTTCCATAACATCAGATCTAGGAGTCACCAAATGAAATTAATAGATAGCAGGTTTAAAACAAAAGGAAGTTTTTCTTTCACTGCACATAGTCAACCAATAGAACTCCTTTCCAGAGGATGTTGTGAGGACCCGGACTTGAACAGAGTTGAAAGAAAACTAGATAAATTCATGGAGGTTAGATTCATCAATAGTTATTAGCTAGAATGGATAGTAATGGTGTCCCTAGCCTCTGTTGTCAGAGACTGGAAATGGATGACTGGAGAAGGATCATTTGATGATTAACTGTTTCTGTTCACTCCCCTGAGACATCTGGTATTGGCCACTGTCAGAAGGCAGGATACTGGTCTAGAAGGACCTTTGGTCTGACCCAGTATGGCTGTTCTTATATTCTTAATATTTTTACATTCCTCAGAGGAATCTTTTTTTTTTTTTAATTCAGAAAGTAGAAAATTAAACCTGAGATTCTGTATCACTTCATTCGCTTTCTGTTCTCTCTCTCTCTCTCCTCCCTCTACCACAGTAACAGAGGAAGTAATCTACACTAGCCTGATATAGGGCACAGATTACTTGCTCTAAAAACCCAGTGAAGCTGCATTGGCTGACATGTTTGGGGGTGGAGGAGTCAAGGGTCCATCAAGTAGCACTCAAATAGAGGCTATGCAGAAAGAAATATTTCCATGCGAACTGATCATGCTTTATTTTTCTCAATACTTAGGACTGAAAATACAGTGCATTCTTGGTAAAATTGTTAGCTTGTACAGGAAGAATAAACGTTTACATTTAATTACCAGGAGAATATAACAATCTGAATTTGGAAAAGTGAATTACAAGTTCATGTAACTCCTCTTTTGCTGTCTCTGTTGGTGTCCGATTCCGGATCTAGAGTCTGTATTTCTTTTTCCTGCTCTTTGATATTTCATTTATTTTAGTTTTAAATGTGTTGGGGGAAGAACAGTTTTTATTTCTTCACCAGTACTTGAGGTATACAAACGAAATATACAGATCAGTAAATGTAAAGCTGAGATATTAATCCTTTTTGCTATAAGTGTATTTTTCCATACTTAATACTTTTGCAAAATAATGGTAATTAATGTGAACATTCTATACTGTGGTTGCTCTGGGGCATAACAAAGGTGAAACCAATTGAAGTGTGGTTTTTTGAATTTCTGAAAGCAAGGCTTTAAAACGAGGGTTTAAATCAATTGTCTCAAGACCTCTAGAGTAAGAGTTTTGAGAGTAGTGTAATAGTACTTTGTGTCATTAAAGTTTAGGTCAGCACTTCTGTTGTAAATCCTGTTTTTCGGGGGGGAGGGGTTCTCAAATTGTCCATAAAAATTGATTGAGCTTCAGACTTTGAGTATAAGGTTTCAATGTAGCAGCAACATTGCTCTTTTACTAATTTAAATAAATGTGTGGTTTTAAATTGTATAGGTGAAAATAAATTGAAAGTTTTTATATATTTTAACATAGTTTTTGTTCTTTTAACCTTAAACTGTGTTGATGGAAAAAGTAAAATTAAGCAATAATTCCTATTATCTATAATGAGCTTTTTAGTTGAATTCTTTGCATAAATAATTTTTTTTCTCTGATGGAAAATATTAAAATATTCTGGATGAACATACATTTTAATAGCTTTCAAATTGTGGTGAGAGGGTATTATGAGACTCACTAAATTCACCTAGATAAAAGGGGAAAAACATGAAGAACCAACAAAAACAATTATGCATCTCCTGGACCGAATTTAAAAGATCTGTCTTTCTCATGTACTTTTGGCTAAAGTTAAGATACTTGTGCCTTCTAATGTGACAGGCTGTGTTGGGAAATTTTGTATTAGTGCATGGCAAACCACAGTTGGCCAGAATGGTTACCAAGACAGTTATTTGCAGATAATAAAAATTTGTTAGGGAGTAAAATATTCTGAATAAATGTTCCTCTCTCTGGGGAGCCTTCAAATCGAGTAAGATTTCCCCTGGGACGCCCATAACTAATGAGTGCAAAGATGAGACACTAGGCCAGTTCTGGCAAGGAATACTCTCTGGCAGTGGCTACACGTGAGGTCTCTGTCTCCATCGGTGCCAACACCAGTGGTGTCGATGCAGCTCCCAGCACGCTCTTTGTCAGGCTCGCTGATCTTCATGGAGATGACACTTGATCTCCGTGTCGGGCACTGTTCTTGATGCTGGTCCTCCAGGTTACCCAATTGTTCACTTGCCTCTCCCAGATGTCAGCGTCGTTGTTACATTTTACCACAGTGTTTTTAAGGATGTCTCTGTAGTACTTCCTCTGCCCTCCATGAGACCTTGCCCCAGTCCTCAGCTGGGCTTAAAAAATCTGAGGCAAATGTGTCAGGCAACCTGACCACATGACCAGACCATTGTAGTTGCTTGTTAGGGTCCGTCTACACTGCAACGCTATGTCGGGATACCAGAGTATCCCGAAGTAGCTATCTTGTGTCTTAACAGCAAGCCTGTTATTTCGGGCTCACTAATCCAACGTTCCTGTAAGCTTCATTCTACGAGGAATAAGAGATGTCTCAGAATAGTGCTTTATTTTGAAATTTGGCAGTGTGTAGACAGCACCAAATGACAAAATAAGCCATTTAAAAATAGCACTGATATAAGATGCATTCTGAGCTACGCAAATTACGTATAACTTATTTTGAGTTATGGTGCAATGTAGATGCATCCATAGAGCCTTTATTTCTCTAAATTGTCAGAAATCATTTTTAAAGTAGATTGACTTCTTTCTAAGACACTGTTTCATGCTTTTCTATTATACTATTCCTTTTTTAGTAAATGCATTTGTACATTAGTGCTGCCACAGCTCATAATGAAATTATGTAAATGAAATAAAACACATACAAAAGCAATTCAATCCAGATTTTACTAAATATGCTGCCAGTCCTGCAAAGATTTAAACATATGCTTAAGTTTCTGCACATTGACTTCAGTGGGACTGCCCTACAATGTGTGAAGTTAAGCATATGTGTAAGTCTCCACAGAATTGGAGCTTGTGCTTGGGCCAAAACCCTGAATAACTGAGACGTAACACATAGTAATAGTAACATTTTCATGAGTTATC